AAAATAAGCTTACGTTTTAAATTTAAATTTAATTTAAATAAAATGACAATTAATCTAAATTTTATTTAATTTAATTTTAGAATTTTAAATACATTTTAAATTGAATGTTTATTTTGTTTCAAGTAAAAAAAAACCCTGATGAGCATACTGTGAAAAGTCATAACGTGCAATTATATTTTCAAATTCTTACCATTTATTTATTTCAACCCGATCTGACCGAGCGATAGAGTTGTGATTTAATGAAAGTCTAATTAATTAAATCATAAAAATTTAAAATTAAAATAAATAAATAAATAATTGAAAAATAAAAATGATCCCCAAAATAAGATGAAATATTGTATATATTTACCTCCATGTAATGTGAACATTAACGGACATCAGAGAGCCACGATATTATTGATATTACATATTGTACATCAAAGAGGTTTAGCTGACAGAAAAATGTATAGGAACCCCTTCTGTAACCTTACATAGTCATGTTGATTTAGTCAAATCAAAAAATATTTTTGTGACTCTACAAAGGACAATGAATTATGGTATTAATTATGGTTGAATTCAAAACTATGAATTATTATATAATTTATGGTATCATTTTTTTTTTACATTAAACAGTAAAGGAACGTTCCCAGAAGTTCCTACATGACACATATGATTATATTTTACATAAATAAATATATATTTTATTTTTTTCTCAATTTGCTATCAGTAATGTACATTAGGGTGTTTTTGTTACGTTTTGTCATTAAGTTATTTTTTATGCTTATTATTTATTTGTTTATTTATATTTTTATTTATTTAATTTCTGTCAGCCACACAGCTGCCAGTTTTTTTTAAACGTGAATTTAACAGGATATTTTTTTTACATGCAGTCTAATATCTTTTGAAGACATGCTCTCATTCAGAGATGTGCAGTTATTGAAGCAGGGTTGGGCATGAAGCTGAAATGTTTGCACATTTAACATTTAATGCATTTGACACACTTTTATCCTATCTGACTTAAATTGCATTCAAACTGTACAGTTTATCAATTCGAACCCATGACCTTGAGATTGCTAGCTCTGCCGTTTGAGCTAGAGGAACGCTTCGAGACGGGAATGTTTCCACAAAAAATCTGTCTCTTGTTTAGTAAGCAACATGAAAAGAAAACGTTCTTGGCATATTTTTAGATATGGCTATTAGGCTTCTTTGATCAGCTGACTCTCACAAAACTCACGCAGCTACACTTTCTTTGCAAGTACTTGTAATGCAGATATTTTCATTGGATTGCCTAGTTACATAAAAAAACATTTAATTTGAAATGTGCAATCAGATTAGTTGTTTCGGCAAAAATCTGTGCTTGTTTTCAGTCAATGTGGACCAGACGCTGTGCCGATAGTCAAACGTCTGGCAACATGAGTCTGATGCGTGTATGTGTGTGTGTGTGTGTGTGTGTGCAGGTTTGGTGGTGAGGGAAGCGCGGATCGAGATCTTCCGGCAGCAGGTGGAGGAGTTGTTTGGTTTGGAAGATTACTGGTGCCAATGTGTCGCCTGGAGTTCCGCAGGAACCACCAAGAGCCGCAAGGTGCACGTCCGCATCGCATGTGAGTATAAACACACACACACACACACACACACACACACACACACACTGCTTTAAAGAGAAGAGGCTTTGCTCTGTCTGCACTGACTGCAGGAGATTTCTCTGTCTGACAGACACTTTGGCTTCATGTTTATTGACACACACACACACACACACACGGTCTGTGAGGAAGTCTGTAAGCTGGCTGAAGGTAATGGAGCATTTATGCAGATCAGAGTCTGCAGACAGGAGACAGTCTGGAGCACACAAACACACACACACACACACACACACACAGGGGACTGTCTGGACATCGCTTTATGGTCGTATTAATCTTGTTAATTTCCTGCAGTTCATCTTGAGTGTGTGCGAGTTGGGAGCAGGTTATCGGTGCAGCCCAAGGGCACTTCACTCTCCCTCTGTCGTCTCGGGCTGAGTGTGTGTGTGTGTGTGTGTGTGTGTGATAGACACAGAGACACGGAGACTGAAGCCGACTGGCAGTACAACACAAGAAACTTCCTCTCATCTGGATGCATTCAGGATCAGAGCTAAATAAATCAATGCGGCTTTGGAATTGGTGGATGGATGGATAGACAGACATATAGATTGTTAAACAGACATAGATAGATAGATAGATAGATAGATAGATAGATAGACATACAGATATATAGATAGATAGATACACTCTTAAAAATAAAGCTGCTTCAAAAGGTTCTTCAAGCGATGCCATAGAAGAACCATTTTTGGTTCCACAAAGAACCATTCAGTCAAAGGTTCTTTAAAGAACCATCTTTTTCTTACCTTTTTGTAATCTGAAGAACCTTATTTCGCCACAAATAACCTTTTGTGAAACAGAAAGGTTCTTCAGATGTTAAAGGTTCTTTATGGAACCATTTAGACAAAAAGGTTCTTCTATGGCATCGTGAAGCACCTTTATTTTTAAGAGTGTAGATAGATAGATAGATAGATAGATAGATAGTCTTCATTCATCTAACATGGTTGTATGTTTCAGGTTTGATAGAGTGAGCAGATTAGTAATTAGCTTAAATTAAAAGCAACATATTTTGAATGGAAAGTCCCCAGGTATGTAGATGTATTTACATAGGTGTTTGTGTGTGTTTGTTGACTCATTCAATCATACTATTGTGAGCAGAGGGGCATTGTGGGAACTCTCAGCTGGGTTATTTTATGGGTGATTGAACAGGGCAGAAATGCTCTCTCTGTCACACGCCAGCACACACAAGATGCAAACACACTCGCACAAAAACACACTCACAGACGTACAGCCGCTATCACAGAGAGAGACGGACATGACAGGAAGATTGAACAAGATGATAGATTATATCACTGATTCACAGCCGAACACAAATTTAGTGCCCAAATAAATTCATGTGAGTTTCTGACACACAAGCGCTGCCCTGTGTATGTGTGTGTGTGTGTGTGGATGGAGGTGATAGGCTCATATGGACATCTCGGTTCGCTGCATGAGGCCTTACATCGAATACAGGCAATTCACCCCCAATCCTGTAGGAGACGCCCGCAGCAATGCAACTCTGTTTGATAACCGGCCGCCAGCAGAAGAACAGCGAATGCGTGAGTTGCGCATTTGAAAACAAAGCCCGCTAGACCATGTGACCATGTGCTGATTCTGAATGCGTCTCTCACAGACTGGCAAAGGAGTATACTTTAAAGGCTTGTGCACTCGTCTTCTTTTATTTGTGTACACTCACAATGAAAACAAAACATTGTGCTTTTGTAAAATAGGATGTCGCTTTCTGCCATTTGAGTGTATAAATCTGTACATAAATCTTCTGTTCCAGATTCATACACATTATTATTTATTGTAAAGTCTTATTTAAATGTTTCTGTTCTCATGTCAGATATATATGTATGTATGTATGCATGTATGTACCAAGAGCTTCTTAAAAGCCACAACAAATTCCTTGTGTGTTTGTGCACACTTGGCGAATAAAGCTGATTCTGATTCTGATTACCTAATCAGAGAATTTCGTTTTCGATTTGAATTCGTTCATTTAAAAGTAGACACTTCAAGCTTTCTATAGACATATTTGTCATGTCTCTGTGTCAAGTATTCGCTGAGTTTGTGATGCGTAGAAAGTTGCTCACGGAGACCTAGACGGCAGAAAGCGCACCGTTTGTTTTGTTTATTTTACAAAAGCACAATGTTTTGTTGTTATTGTCAGTGTACACAAATAAAAGTAGGCCCTTTTTAGATTCGATTGATTTTAGTCTTATCTGAGTATTTAAGGTTTCTCTGTCAATCAGGAAAAACTGAAAGTGAACGCGCCGGCGCGCAGAGGGTTAAAGACGCTGCATTCAATTTTATCTTTAGACTGTAAATTTAGATTTCAAATTCAGTATTGATTTGAGAACTGTTGAAATTATTTACAGTATGTAACGTAAGTACTTTATAAGTAACTGTAATTAAATTACCTAAAAATGAACAGTAATCCCTTACTTTACTTTTTCAGTGGATAAGTAATTTAATTACAGTACAGTACCCAACACTGGTGACAGTATATATGTTTTATTTGATTAGTGACTAAATTCTATTATATTTTATTAGTTTTAGGTCTGTATATAGTGATACGTGTTATATTTGATTAGTGTAGTGATGTGAACAATGTTATATTTGATATGGTATTAGTTTAGGAGCTGAATATGACTTTAATTGTTTTTTTATTTTATATATTATTGGTATATACTGATATGCTATATTTGATTAGTTTAGTGACTTTAAATATATTATATATTATTAGTTTATGGACTGTGTATAGTGATGTAAATGTTATATTTGATTAGTTAGTGGACTTAAATATTGTCTTGATATATTATTAGTTTAGGCACTGTGTGTAGTTAAATAAACAAAAATAAATGTTATTTGATTATTTTAGTAACCTAAAAATTTGTTTAGATTCTTGGTATATAGGAATGGATGTTATATTTGATTAGTGGCTAAATATTTTATATTAGATGTTATATTAGTGACTTTGATTGTATTAAATTAGTGACTTACCTTAAATATATTATTAGTTTAGGCATTGCGTTTAGTGCTAAATACTATATATGATTAGTTAATCTTATTTATTGTCAGTTTAGGAAGAGTGTATTGTGATAGATGTTATATTGGATTAGTTTAGTGACTTTAAATAGCACTTGACATTATATGTGATGAGTTGAGGGACTGTGGTCAGTTCGTTGCTGAAGTCCAGACATTATAATTATGAATGAAATAGGAGTGCTGGTATACAGGTGTGTGTGTGCATCTGTGTGTGTGTGTGTGTGTGTGTTGCTTCAGCTCTGTTTGGGATATTAATGCTGTTTAAGATTTGTTGCTGTAGCAATGTAGAGCACTAAAACTATGAGTTGAATGCATTACACACTCACACAGTCGGACACACACCTCCTCTGAGACGTGATTTATTTGCCTATTACCTCCATCAGTAATGTGAAGGAAAACAGACTTGCATGGTGTGTGTCTCTGTGTGTGTGTGTGTGTGTGTGTGTGTGTCTGTGTGTGTGTGAATGAGCAGAGAAGTAAAAAGCTTGACAGGCTGAAGATATTTTCCTTATGCGCGTGTGTGTTTTATGTGCAGTTGAATGGAGAAATCACAGCGCAGACAATTGAAGGTTCAGGGTGAAATTTAAAAAAAAAAAAATTCTTGATCTCAATATTTTTTATTACAATGTTTTGACGAGTGAAACCGCTTGGGGGAATCATCCATTCAACTGCAGGCACATCAGCTATAAGAAGTAAAGTCTAGTTAAGGCAAAATGGTCATGTTCTCAATTTGATCATTTTTAATCATTTTCAATCAACCAAATTATGTATTGGAGGGACAGAACACATGAATTTATTAATGAATGACCCTAACAATTTTGGAGTGTTGAGGCAAACGTATCATTGAATCAGAATTTACTGAACCGATCGCTAGTTGAAATCTGTCTGTCTGCAGAACTGGTAGTAACTTCATGATTAAATGTAATCTGGATTGCATAATCAGATTCCAAAAACCAAGTACTTGTATACTAATTAGAGTATATTACATTTGATCATAATCAGATTACAGTTACTTTTTATGCATTACATGATTACATATTATTCACACAATGGCAGTAAATGATTCATAATTTATTGATTCTCCCTAATTTTTTTCTCTTTTTTCCTAGTGTCATATCATTTAGCTTTGACTATATTCGAAATATCGGATCATGTAAATGCCATTGTAAATACATTTGCAAATGCTTCTGGATTTGGATGAAAAAGGAAGACTTTGGGCATGTAATGTCGTTGTTATTTTCATGTTTATTAATGTTTGTTCATGTAATGCAGGGATTCCCAAATGATTTGTCAGCCAAACCTGTTAGCCATTTTATTATAAAATGTTCTTTTATTTATTTATTTATTTCTAAATTCTTTATATTTTATAAATAATGTATCATTATCACTATGTATCACTACATTTTTATTTGTCATATTATGAAATATTATATATACATATATATCTATTATATATACACATGTATTTACTGTAAAATGTTATTATTTTATGGGAAATATCACATTATTATTTGTTATAATATGAAATATAATACAACATACGTCATAAATGATCAATGTATGTGTCGCCCGTCAGTAGTGAACAGATATGAAGTCTATTCTTCATCATAAAGCTCACAAAGCAGCAGAGAGAAAGAGGATTGGTATTCACATATTCACCCCCTCCACAACTATTCACACACATCTCTGCATTTACAATTCACAGGTTCACACATGAGGTGTGAGAAGGATGTGTTGAAGACTAGATGAGTCTGGCCTTCTGTCCGTTAGACCTCAAGTGTTAGACACCCACTCACACACACACACACACACATACACACACACACACACACACACTCACACGCGCACACACACGCACACACAGAGACAAACCAGCAGGGAAAAATAGATATTTACACCCACACGTGAACATTATGAGATAATAAAGCGAACGAATAGCACAAATGTTTGCTTTGACCTGAGAATATGGCAGATATGAGCGTCATTCACATGTCCTGGGAGCTGTACTCTTCACCGGTGTGAAGAAACCAATCACACACACTGTCAACTGCACACAAAACATCACAATGAGATGAAATCCAGTGCGATAATAAATTCTGTGCTACTTATTATTATGTGGGGTGCAAAAGTCTGAGAGAGCATCTGTTATTTTTTCCATTTCCATTTTTTTTTTTTTTAATAAAATGACCACGTGAAATGTAAGAAATATTCTGTGCTATTTCTAGGTGACTAATGAAGTGTAAGTAAATGAGCCGCGTCTTTGTCTCCATTCTCCACAGTCTTGAGGAAGACGTTTGAGCAGGAACCCTTGGGGAAGGAGGTGTCACTCGAACAGGAAGTGCTGCTGCAGTGCCGCCCACCCGAGGGCATACCGCCTGCTGAGGTACTCTCTAACACACACACACACACACACACACACACACACACACACTCACACTCACACTCACACTCAAACACACACACACACTCGCTTGCTTGTGTCAATACCATACAGATCAGCTTTGCCTATAGGGATGAATGTCAAGCTCTATCCTGTGTTGCCAGCTGTCAAACTATTTTTTTTATAATTAAATGCACTAATTAACATGTTAAACTGACAGCTCATATTCATATTAGTAGGGTACAACAAGGCTGAAGGCATACTTTAAGAAAAATGTGCTTTTCTCTACTCTTAGAAAAAATATATATGTTTTTATTAAACATTGATGGAGCAACAGATTTTGTGTGAAAAGAAATGATAAAAGTGGTTTGTTTTGTTTAAAAAATAGTGCTGGGCAACGATTAATCGCGATTAATCGCATCCAAAATAAAGGTTTTTGTGTACATAATATTTGTGTGTGTACTTTGTATATTTATTATGTATACAGTATATAAATACACACACATGCATGTATATATTTAAGAAAAATATGTTATGTTTATATATTAAATATATTTAGATATAATCTAAATTATATGAATATAAATATATGTAGATATTTTCAAAATATATACTGTATGTGTGTCTTTATATATACATAATAAATAGTACACACACAAATATTATGTACACAAAAACCTTTATTTTGGATGCGATTAATCGCGATTAATCGCATCCAAAATAAAGGTTTTTGTGTACATAATATTTGTGTGTGTACTTTGTATGTTTATTATGTATACAGTATATAAATACACACACATGCATGTATATATTTAAGAAAAATATGTTATGTTTATATATTAAATATATTTAGATATAATCTAAATTATATGAATATAAATATATGTAGATATTTTCAAAATATATACTGTATGTGTGTCTTTATATATACATAATAAATAGTACACACACAAATATTATGTAAACAAAAACTTTTATTTTGGATGCGAATCGTGATTAATCATTGCCCAGCACTATTAAAAATGTTATACATGTATGAGGTGGCGAGATGAGCTTTTTTATCCCACACACGCAGCATTTATACAAGTACTTTAGCTAAAGCAACATGTTTTGAATAATATCTAAGTTACTTGTTCAAAACAACCACTCTACTTTCAAAATATAAAACTATAAATGTATTATTCAAAATGAAAACAAAAGTCTTAGACACTTGTTGTTGTCAGACTTTGTGGATCTGTTCATCTGTTAATATGATGAACTAGGCCGCTGGTTATTCTGCGAGGACACCTGTGTGAACTTGAGCAGACTGAACTTCATACATCCATGAAGAATGACCTTGAGAGCAGCTGGTTAAATATCACTCGGAAATGTGAAGCTTGTTGTGAGAAAAGCTTGCACATCATTTGAATGCAGATTCCACTTTTTTTTAAAATAATGCATTAATGTCTGAATGTTTTTTGTGATACTGTAGAGTATGTGTGTATGCAAAGCTTGTTTATGTCTTTCTGGAGTGTCAGTTCCACTGAACTCTAAGGTCTCATGAACTGTTTAAAAGAAGTGTGAAAGTACACTGTAAATGGAAGAAAGAAAAACACACTAACCTGACTGACTGATTTACTGTCTAACAGCTTTGACATGTTTTGCATGATCTTAAAAACTTTTAAATATAAAGGCTATATATATATAAATATAAATATAATTTTGACAAATATTAATATATAAATATATAATTCTATATATATATTTTTAAAAATATATACATTTGTAATTATTTTATGGTATGTTTTTTAAGTGAAAATTATGAGTTGAACAAGATAGTACAGGAACATCTGTTACTTTTTAATAATTTTTTATAGTTTTAATAATTTCCAAAAACAGAAAAATATTATTTGTACAGTATATTACAGGAAAATCAATTATTAAATTGATAAATTGATAAATTTGGTCACTTTCAATTATTTTATTAATGTACATTTTTATAATTGTGATAATTAAAAACAGAATAGGATTATTTGAACCAGATAACACAGGAAAATCAGTCGTTAATAATATAAATATAAATATAATTTTGACAAATATTAATATATAAATATATAATTCTATATATATATTTTTAAAAATATATACATTTGTAATTATTTTATGGTATGTTTTTTAAGTGAAAATTATGAGTTGAACAAGATAGTACAGGAACATCTGTTACTTTTTAATAATTTTTTATAGTTTTAATAATTTCCAAAAACAGAAAAATATTATTTGTACAGTATATTACAGGAAAATCAATTATTAAATTGATAAATTTTGTCACTTTCAATTATTTTATTAATGTAAAGTTAATAAAATAATGATTTTTATAATTCATTTCAATCTTTGTCATTTTTATTGAATATTTATTATGTTTTTAAATATTTTTGTAACCATAATAATGATTCAAACATAAAAGGATGAGTTGAACCGAAGAGTGCAGAAAAATCAGTCATTAAATACAATTATAAAATTATTAATTTTGTACTTATTAATAACTTTAATAACTTTAATTTTAATAATTAAAACTAGAACAGAAAAGGATGAGTTGAACAAGGTAGTACAGGAAAATCTGTTACAATTTATTTTATTTTAATAATTTTTATAGTTTCAATAATTAAAAAAACTGAAAAATATTATTTGAACTGTATATTACAGGAAAAGCAATGATTATATTGATGAATTCCTTAATTTTGTCACTTTTAATTATTTTATTAATGTACAAAACAGAATAGGATGATTTGAACTAGATAACACAGGAAAATCAGTCGTTAATAAAATTATTATTTTTATAATTCATTTCCATCTTTGTCATTTTTTTTTTATTTTTTATATTTATTATGTTTTTAATATTTTTATAGCCATAATAATGATTAAAATATAAAAGGATGAGTTGAACCGGAGCGTGCAGGAAAATCAGTCATTAAATAAAATTATAACATGATTCATTTTGTACTTATTAATTATTTTAATTATTTTAATTTGAATAATTAAAACCAGAACAGAATAGGATGAGTTGAACAAGATATGCGTGCATACATCTCAGGATGCACCTCATGAAGTTGGAGTGTTGAAAAAGCTTAAATATCAGAGAATTTAAATTTTTTCATTTGTATTTTTTCATCATCATTCCTATCAGTGCTCCTTCAGAATTTTGACTTTCCTGTTTCTCCACAATGTGGACGGTGTGTGTGCTGCTGACAGAGGCGGACTTAACCATTAGGCAAAGGTAGGCGACCGCCTTGGGCCCCCAAAAGCCAAGGGCCCCCTAAAATGCTTTTTATATGCGAGATGCACGTTCAGTGTGGACGCACAAGCGGTTGCTCTGGTGTTCATTACCACGACAACCGTCTGTGCGTCCACGTTGAACGTGCTTCTTAGCAAAAGTAGGGCGATGTAGAAAATGGGGACGGAATCCCGGAATATATTCATAAAAACGGAATTTACTGTGTAACGCGGAATGTGACGGAATGAACGGCGCAGACGCACATTTCCTTTGCTAGTTTGCTATTTAAGCACCTGCAACGCTTGCGGTTGTCGTCTGTAGTAGCTAAATAGTATTTTTGCCATTTAATATTAACATACACTAGTCCATATCGCGGTTAGATTGAAGTGTACTGAATTGCATTTGATTTATTCATTCAATATTTGACGAATTCCGTGACATTTCTCGTTACACAGTAAACTTATGTTGTGTAGCATTTTGAATGTACAAAAATTAAAGGGTTTGTTTAATTTTCATTGGAATAAAAGATAGATTAATGTTTTCGCCTTCATTTGATTACCAGAAAAATGAAAATACACAACACAGAATTTCTAAAAAAGAAGTAAATAAAATTAAAATTTCATAGGGCCCTATTATGGTATACAAATTAATAAATTAAGTTGTTTTTATGAATTCAATTAATTCGATATGTTTTTGATTAAACCATTAAAACGGAATACAGAAAAAAAAAGAAAAAGAAAGTGCAGAATTTGGGCCCTAAGAATATAATTTTTGTTAAACATTTAATAGGCCTAAATTGTTGTTAAATTAAACAAGTTTTATGATTTGAATTAATTAGACATGCTTTTTTGTTAAAATTTAATATAATCATCCAGAAAAAAACTAAAAACAAAACTGAATCCAGAAAAATTTAAAAGGACAAAAAGATTTTGGAAAAAATAAAACGTAGGCTAATTTGGGGAAAATAAAACGGATTTCATAGGGCCCTACAAATAGCATGCGCCTGAAGCTATAATTTTAATACTAAGCAACAGTGCATATTATATAGGGCCTATTTTAATTTTTTTAAATGGCGCTCACTCGTTTTTGTGAAAGACCCAAGAAGGACCATGCACAGTCACTTTCCACACAGGCACACTTCATGTTTGGTTGAAATAATCCTTAAGCATGTAAATTTATAATTTCCTTCAGTTTAATTTAAATGTGCAATTAAAATAAATAAAAATAAATTTATATTTTAAAGTTTAGAATTAGACATCCTTGCGTTGTGTAGACAATTGCATAGTGAAAATTACCCCAACTCACCACCTAGTGTCCAACCTACTCTAATACTATTATAACCTGTTTAAATGTGAACAAGGGATTTACAACATTAAAGAAATCCTTTATAACATGTACATGAAAAATCTAAAAGATTAGACACAACTATGGGGCACGGTCGTGCAACAGCGAGCAACAGTGAAAGGAACCTCAAGGTTGTAAATGTGTGAAATTGTATAGGGCCCCATTCCTGTATTTTGCCTGGGGCCCCCAAATCACTAAATCCGCCCCTGGCTGCTGAATGCTGTAGTTGTGTGTATGTAGTGTATACGCATGTGGAGTTTGTCTGTCATCATACAGTACGTGTGTTCAGAGCCGTCAGAGTCGTTTCTGCTCCTGGCTTTGACCCGAAGGTCGAGGGTTCCCAGAAGACCCGTAAACGACAGCTGCGGCTCCCAGAGGACACTTCACACACAAACACACACACACACAC